CCGCACTGCCCCCCTCCCCCCCCCGCCGCTCTTCCTCGCGCCAGGTGCTCCTCCGGTAGACCCCCTCCCCCCTCAGGGTCCTGCCCCCTCAGGTGTGTCTCAGGTAGACGCCGTCGAGCCTGTTGAGGTAGCTGTTGACTCAGGTGCTGCTGGGGGTGCTGAGCCTGGGGGTGCTGGGTCTGGGGGTGCTGAGCCTGGGGGTGCTGAGCCTGGGGGTGCTGAGCCTGGGGTTGCTGAGTCTGGGGGTTCTGCGACTGGAGGTCCTCCGAGTGTCCCGTTGCGGCGGGAGCCCCTCTCTCCACGGCAGCTTCGTGAGTGGTACGCTCGGCGCTGTAGCCGTGCTGCTGGAACTGGGGGGCCTGCTCCTGGAGGTGCTGCTGGTGCTGGAGCTGCTGGAGCCGCTAGTCCAGGAGGTGCTCGTACTGGTGCTGCTGAGGGAGTTGGAGCTGGAGGTGCTGGTGCTGCTGGTGCTGGTGCTGCTGGAGGTGCTGCTGGTGCTGGAGCTACTGGAGCCGCTGGTTCTGGAGGTGCTCGTACTGGTGCTGCTGAGGGAGTTGGAGCTGGAGGTGCTGGTGCTGCTGGTGCTGGTGCTGCTGGAGGTGCTGCTGGTGCTGGAGCTGCTGGAGCCGCTGGTTCTGGAGGTGCTCGTACTGGTGCTGCTGAGGGAGTTGGAGCTGGAGGTGCTCGTGCTATTGGAGGTGCTACTGGTGCTGGAGCTGCTGGAGCCGCTGGTTCTGGAGGTGCTCGTACTGGTGCTGCTGAGGGAGTTGGAGCTGGAGGTGCTGGTGCTGCTGGAGGTGCTGCTGGTGCTGGAGCTGCTGGAGCCGCTGGTTCTGGAGGTGCTCGTACTGGTGCTGCTGAGGGAGTTGGAGCTGGAGCTGCTGGAGCTGCTGGTGGTGCTGCGGGAGTTGCAGCTGGAGACCCTGGAGTTGAGGGTGCTGGTGCTGTCTCTGCTGGTTCAGGAGGCGCTGCGCGGCCGCGGCCGTACTACGTTCCGCTCCTTCAGCAGGTTCTTGGCCTCCCGCCTTCTATTGGTCCTACTCCTCCCCTGCTGAGTCCACCGCCTGTCCAGTCGCAGTCACAATTACAGCCATCCTCTCCACTGCCTAGTCCTTCTCCTTACTCTGGGCCGACTAGAGGTCTTACGGAGCCTCGTGAGCCTGAGTCTCGTCCTGCGTCGCCTATGTCCCATCCAGAGTCGCCTGTCCGCGCTGTCCGCACTGGTCGTCGTGTTCCACGTGAGCGTCCTCCTCCTGTCCCTGGCACTCACTATATGGTTCTGCGTCCGTCCACTGCTCCACAGCGTGTCCCTCTGCCGTCTCCTCATGCGTCCTCTCTTCCTGACGTTGCTGACCCGCCGTCAGACCTTGCTCGTGCTGCCAGTCCTACTGTCAAACGTCTTCTAGCTACTGCTGTCACTGACCCTTCCTTTGAGTCCACTGCTGCGTCTGCTCTAGTTGCTGAGCTTGTTGACTTTGCTGCAGCCTGTCGTCTAGACTACGCCGCTAGCCTTGTTGCTGAGTCTGAGTCTGTCTGTCCTCCGTCCGTCGGGGGTGAGTGTGCTCTTGGCACGGACGTCCTTGAGGACAGACAGGAGGAGTTTGAGTGCTTTGCCGCTACTTTACCTCATCTCGTGTCCATGCTGATTGCCCCTGAGGGAGACCCGGATGCACCAGACATCCCGACCCCGCGCTCTTACGCAGAGGCGATAGAGGATCCCTACTCCTCTCAGTGGTAGTCAGCCATGGACGCAGAGATGGTTTCCTGGAAGTCCACAGGCACCTACGTCGACGAGGCTCCCCCACCTGGGGCGAACATCGTCAGTGGCATGTGGATTTTCAGGGTGATGCGGCCGCCGGGTTCTCCGCCTGTCTTCAAGGCGCGTTACGTTGCTCGAGGCTTCAGTCAGCGACAGGGAGTTGACTTCTTTCGGACCTTCTCCCCTACCCCGAAGATGACCACTCTTCGGGTGCTGCTGCACGTTGCCGCACAGCGTGACTACGAGCTTCACTCTCTTGACTTCAGCACAGCCTTCCTACAGGGCAGCCTGCACGAGGAGATCTGGCTGCGCCGCCCACCCGGCTTCACTGGGTCGTTTTCTGCAGGTACCCAGTGGAGCCTCCGGCGGCCAGTCTACGGTCTCCGCCAGGCGCCCCGCGAGTGGCACGACACACTGAGGACGACACTTGCGGCTCTTGGGTTTACTCCTTCTACTGCTGACCCGTCGCTGTTTCTGCGCACCGACCCTTCTCTCCCGCCGTTCTACATCCTTGTGTACGTCGACGACTTGGTCTTTGCTACTGCCGACACTAAGGCGCTGACCCTTGTGAAGTCGGAGCTGCAGAAGAGACACACCTGCACTGACCTGGGTGAACTGACAAGCTATCTTGGCTTGCGGATCACCCGGGACAGAGCACAGTGCACCATTACCTTGACTCAGTCACACATGGTGCAGCAGGTCCTTCAGCGCTTTCGCTTCACGTACTCCTCGCCAGAGGCCACTCCTCTGCCTACGCGCCACTCGCTCTCAGCTCTGCCTTCGGATGAGTCGGTAGAGCCGAGTGGCCCGTATCCAGAGCTTGTGGGCTTCCTCATGTACCTGATGACCTGCACTCGACCTGACCTTGCATACCCTCTTAGCATCCTAGCACGCTATGTCACTCCTGGCCGACACAGGAAGGAGCACATGGATGCCGCTAAGAGGGTGTTGCGCTACTTGTGCAGTACGTCGGGCATGGGGCTCGTGTTTGGAGGACGGGCTCGAGTTGTCCTCACTGGTCACGCAGATGCTTCTTGGGCTGACGACTTGCCTACGCAGCGGTCGTCAGAGGGTTACACCTTCAGTCTTGGCTCCGGCTCTGTTTCGTGGCGGTCTACCCGCTCGTCTTCTGTTCTCGGCTCCAGCTGTGAGGCCGAGATCTACGCAGGGGCCATGGCTGCACAGGAGTTACGCTGGCTCACCTACCTGCTGAACGACCTGGGAGAGCCGCCTCGTTCTCCTCCAGTTCTGTACGTCGACAACAAGGCCATGCTGGCCCTGTGTCAGGAGCACAGACTGGAGCACAGAACGAAGCACATTGCTCTTCGCTACTTCCTCGCACGTGAGCTGCAGCAGCGTGGTCAGCTGCGCCTTGCTTACGTGGCCACTCAGGCCTACACTGCTGATATCTTTACCAAGGCACTTCAGCCTTGTGATCATCAGCGTTTCTGTACTGTTCTAGGCCTTGTGCCTACTGTGCCTCACTTGCTTACCTCTTGACTCTGCTTGTACTGTGATCTCTATACATATCCCTGCATGCTTACACTTGCTAGGTTGTGATCACTGTACCTCTTCTTATATATCAAACTGCATGTGAACTGGTCTTGTGACCACTTGCTTGTGCTCGGAATTTGTGTGGTATCCTTGAGATCCACCCTGGGCTTGCTTTGGTTTTCTTGACTGGTCTTGTGACCTCTTGTTCTCCCCCACTTTGCCTATGGGGGTGTGTCAGAGTTATATGACATTGTCTGTGTAGGCTGTAGTGGGGTAGACAATATGGGGTACAACACTTTTAGGGTTTCCTACTTGTACCCACCTGTTTGCTTGTTCATTCATTCCTCTTTCTTCACACAACTGTCCCATAGCTGACCCGAAAGTGCCCTGCCCCAAAACTGTCCCTGTAGTAACTCAAAAGTGACTCTAAAGTGTCTTCCAGGATGTGAGACAGCCCTTTTCTTCTTCGAAAGAAGAGGGTTTGTGGAAGGTGTGGAGTAGCCGCTGATTATAGAGGGTTTAGAAGGTGGCAAGCGGTGGCGGGAGTAGCTTTGGCTGATGAAAGGCAACAGGGGATGGCCCTTTGTGAAGAATCTACCGCAACAAGAAATTGCAAGCATGAGAGGGGAGAGCGCAGGAGATAAGTCGTGTCCCTTCCATCAAGCAAGCATTAGAGAATTCTCAAGGCGTTGCCGAAGCTGCGCAATGAAGGGAATGCTCAGGGCAATGAGGCAAGACAGCGCGGTGGGGGGACAATGTCAGTTTGACATAATTGACCTCAAACTGACCCAAATCTGCCCCAAAGTCAGTTTTGGGACGGATTATCCAGGGGACAATCTGACCTAGGCGGGGCAATTTGACCCGTCCCTGACCCGTACATGACCCGTACCTGTCCTGAAAGTTACTTTTGGGTCAACCAATCTGACCCGTACCTGACCTACAAGTATCCAAAAGTGACAGACCTAAAAGTAGGGTCAGATTGTCATATGACCCAAATGTTGCCTAAAAAGTTACTTGGGGGTCACCTCAGGTATACCTGTGCAACGAGACGAGTTACTCGCTCGGTATCCCCCGAGTTACTCGTTCGGGGGCGAGTAACGAGTTTCGATTTTTTTTAATTTTGCTCGGACGAGTCGGGCCGAGTTTTACTCGCCGAGTTTTTTTTGCTCGACGAGTACTCGCGTGCTTTTAGGCGAGCATTTATGGAACTCGTCGAGTTTTTTAAGCTCGACGAGTATCAAAAAACTCGTCTCGTTCACCTAGCAGATAACATTGCGGTTTGGTTGGGTTGGAATTTTCCTCCCGCCTTTTTACCCAACCACTTTCTAGATCTGATGGGTTTCGTTTGGGTTTAGGGTACGCACCTTTCCTTCAGTTCCCTCCCGCCATTTCAGCCAACCACTTTTCAGATCTGATGGGTTTCTCATTTAGTACTCCCTCACGTCACTTCGCCTACGCGCCCGCTATGGTCTGAGAGCACGCAACAATGTCGCCTACTATTCAAAGGGACGACCTCGACCGCATCAGTAGGACATTGACGTAGTGTCATTGTCGCGATTGACCGTCAAACTTACCTAGACGTCGCGATACATGTTGTTGTAGGGGTAACATTACCTAGCAACGTTCAGATTAGAGACGCACTGCTTCGTGCGCGCCATCCTAAGCGCCGGCTGCAGCAGGTCGTGGTCGCGGTCGTGGTGCTGCTCGTGGTAAAGCTAAAGTTCATGGTGCCGTATAGCAGATCGGGATGACATCTACAGAGTTGCGCCAACTGAAAGTGGCGTCAGCGGAGTTTCATCGTGAGCAACTTTTAGAGGCGGTTGGAGGAGGCAAGAAGGTGGACAAACGTCATGGCGAGGGAAGCTCTGGGGTAAATCGTGGCACTTATCGTGACGATAATGTCAAGGATGGGGTTGCTGGAGAGGATATCGAACAGCGCCGTGGTGAACTAGAGGACGATGGCGAAGGTGACGGTGTGGACGGTACCGCCGGTCTAGGGAGTGCAGATGGCGGCACTGCTGCTCGCGCGGATGGTGACGAGGATGAGGCGGATGAGGAGATGGTGGCGGCTGACGAAGAGGAGGACGAGGAAGCGGAGAGGGATGCTGACGAGGAAGAGGAGGGGGATGCTGACGAGGAAGAGGAGGGGGATGCTGACGAGGAAGAGGAGGGGGATGCCGAGGAGGAAGAGGAGGGGGATGCGGAGGAGGAAGAGGAGGGGGATTCGGAGGAGGGGAGCGGTGACGACTCCGATGAGGAGGTGTACACCGGTGACGGAGAGGAGGCGGAGGACGACAACGCTGAGGACTACGACGACTTGGAAGAGGAAGGGATGGAGGATACAGAGGGAGATGGGGGGGAGAGAGCTAAAAAGAGGAAGCGGGGTGGAAATGGGAAGGGTAAGAAGGCAGCAGGCAAACGAGGTGGGGGGGGGGGAGAGGGGGCGGCTGGGGGAAAAGAGGTGGGCGAGGGAGAGGGAGGGGGCGTGGTAGTTCCGGTGTTCGAGGGGGAGGGCAGATTCGGAGGGAAGACACTTCCGAGGATGGTGTTGCCACCTCATCCGCGCACTCTAATGCCACACCACCCAAGCCCAAGGTTCTAACGTGGTACGTCACCCGATGTCTTGAGAAGATTCCTGACCATCCGAAGATGAAGCGTCGATGTCGCAAGTGCAATATGGAGATCTCCTTTGCCAGAACCAACTGCAAGACCGGCAGGACTCACATGGAAGGGCAGCACCTCAACCACTGGATAATATGGTTGCGGAAGTTCCATGGTGGGGAGGTGGGCCAAAACGACCACTTCCCTGAGGGGGGGTATGGGGTTGACGACGAGGTTCCGGACGGGGGCATGAAATGGGTAGGCGCAGACACTTGGCCAGCGCCGCCCACTGAGGGGGGGCCAGCGAGGAAGGGGCAGCAGCTGATCACGCTGACCTACCCCAAGCGCTTCGACAAGGACTATCTGCAGCAGGCCATGTGCGAGTGGGTGGTCGCCACCGACCAGGCATTCACTGTGGTGGAGCACCCGACGGTGAGCCCACTACCACCATACCATCACCACCCCCTTTTTAACCACAAACCAGCAGTGATTGTCCCGTAGATCGTCATTCAGTGTGCTGCTACTTATGTCTTGTCGCGTAGGTTGTACCGCCTGCTGTGTTTGACCAAACCAGCAGTGAATGAAAGTCATTCTCCGCGGCCTCGTACCCACCCCCACAACCCTTCTTGATGGCAGTTTTGCAATATGATGGCAGCCGCCAATCCCAAGTGTGCCGTGGAGAAAGTGATTCCCTCGCGCACCACCCTAGCCCGCCAAATCATCCGCCTGGCCGGGCTGGCAAGGATCAAGCTCATGGAGATGCTTGCTGCTGACGGGGTAGGGGCTGTAGCACTTACGCATGACATATGGACCGGTGAGAATCACCGGTCGTATATATCAGTGACAGGTAGAAGTTTGAGCTCATGCAGATAACCCTCGACTTCCGCGCTATGCCCGGCAAGCACACTAGCGAGAGGATAGTCGAGGTGCTGCTCGATGTGGTGAAGGAGTGGAACTTGGAGAAGCGGTGCATTGCTGTGACATCCGACAACGCATCGGCCAATGTCGCAGCGATGGAGTTCCTTTGCCGTGGGGGGGCAACCGACCGTCAGCCCGCCCTTGTTCTTCTCCGGGATGCACGTCAGGTACCTTAAGTTGGTTTACCTCTCGCACACATGGTGGCTCTGTGCCGCCATTAGTGTTCTCATGTCTGCCTGTGGTTTCTAGTTGTGTGTGCGTGCGGTACTCGTGATCATTCCGGTGTGTGCGCCTTCTCTTTCAATCATGCAACCCGAACACCAGGTGCATGGGCCACATTTGCAACCTAGCAATCCAGCTAGGGCTGAAGACAGTGCTCGATATCAAGGAGCCGCTAGGGATCGTTAGAGACCTAGCGTCCTTCATTGGGTTATCGCCCAAGAGGACAACCCTGTTCGAGAAGATCCAGAGGCGTGCTGATGAGAAGGCGAGGATATTGCGTCTTCGCGGGGACAATGAGGTGCGGTGGGGCTCGACCTACCTCATGCTCGAGCGCGCAATTCGACTTCGAAATGCCATCGAGACCATCTACCGCAAAGCTCCAGTAAGCAAGTAGATGGGCTGAGGTATAGCGGCTGGCTGTGGTGTGTTCCCCACTGAGCTTTGGTGTGTGCTGCAGAATGTTTACCAACAAACCACATCTGCTCCGTCACCCTACCTACAACATCAATGCTGTGCTGTCTTTTGTTTGTCCACTAACATTCCGCCCCAACAGGCAATTCTCACCGCCAAGGATGCCAAGCGCCTCTAGGCCCTCACCCTCTCCTCGGGACAGTGGTTGGCTTTGGAAGAGCTTGCGGCCTTCCTTAAGCCATTCCATGCCGTGAGCCTCGCCGCTGAGGGGTCCAAGTACCCCACGATCTCCAGGGTTGTCCCGCAGTTCAATGAACTGTTGGACGGCCTAGACACCCTCAAAAACAGTGTGTCCTCCCCCCCATCAGGGGTCATGAAGGACTGCATCACTAAGGCAGAGGAGAAGCTGATGGAGTACTACTCGGGCAGCAGTGATGAGCTTTGGGTTGCCACCTTTCTTGACCCAAGCTTCAAGATCGGGTACTTCGAGATGGATGGTGAGGGGGGAGACAAGGAGAGTGAGAGGCCGGGGGGGGTACAGCATGTTGCAGCGGAAAGGGTGCTCGCCTTGGTACGGGCGAAGTTGGTACCGTACAAGGCGAAGGCGGTGGCGGCCCGGGAGAAACGGGAGAGGCCAGAGGGGGCTGGTCGTGGTGCACGCGGAAGGGGAGGGGGGAGCTATTGTTCAGCAAATCAATGCAGTCAACGTTAGTCAATTTAGTCGAGCCAGCACATTACTTACCCCTTGGTGATGGATTTCAATCCGCGCTTGCTCGGGCAGCACCGTCATAATCATTGCAGTGCGCGTTGCGCAGGGCCCATAATTGGTTTTAGGCCACCCTGGCTAATTAGGGTTTCAGCATTCATCAGGAGGGAGCTCCTCTGGCCGGGGGGGTGGAGCTGGCAGAAAGGGGGGTGCTGCAGGCAGCTGCCCAGCCATCGATTCATTTGGTGGTGTAGACGGGGATAGACGGAGCTTGAGGGCAAGATTAGAGGAGTACCGTAGCCGCCAGGAGGAGTCCGTCATGGACGAGGTGCAGATTTACATCGACGAGCGATTGGGGCCTTTGGGGACCTGTCCCCTTTCGTATTGGCGCTGCAGGAATGACCTTGAGGGGCTGCAGGCTATGGCCCTCGACTACCTCGCCATACCAGCGACGTCGGCTGCGAGTGAGCGCAACTTTTCGCGTGGCCGCAATCTGATCACGTGGCAGAGGCATAGCCTGGGACCTGAGCGCGTCCGAGCGTGTATGATTCTCAAGTCCTGGGTGGACTTGAACACAGGGTGCAAGTTGGGGAAGGCGGCAAAGAAACTGCTAGAGTTGGCTGAGGAGGATGCCGTAGGGGTGGAGATGGATGAAGAACAGCCGAAGTGATGGTGTGGGGTGGACTGGTTTGTTGTAAGGGATGGGGGGGGATGACATGGGCTGGTGTGTGTGGGAGGAAACCTAGCAGGGCACTATTTATTGCTTGAGATCACTTGATGCTTACGCTCACCAGGGCGCAAGACCTGGCCTACGTTAAATTATTATGTGTGTAGTTAGAATAGTTGGTGACTCTCATGAATCCTTAGGTTGTGAAAACACCCATGCGTTCCCCTGGTGGCCTGCCTGCGAGGCCTATCCAGGTCTAAGCAGGCTTCTATGGGCTTACCTAGGCAGCCCAAGGGTACCCAAGGGCAACTCAGGCCAGGGCTTTCCTGGGCTTCCCTAGGCCACCATGGACCACCTTGGGTTTACCTGGGCAGCCCTGGAAACCCAAATACGTCCGTGGTACCAATGGACTTCACTAGGCGTTATGTACAAAGTCGTTCTATGCCCCTATAGGGGGCATGGCCGAGCATTACTCGTACTAGGACGAGATTTTCAAATTGCTCGCCCGAGTTTCCCTAAAAGAAGGCGAGTAACGAGTACCTGTTTGGGGGAAAATTGCTCGGTCGAGAATTACTCGACTCGGGCTCGTACTCGTCCGAGCATGGCTAGGGACGAGTCGAGCATTACTCGGCTCGCCCCTTTGCACAGGTATAACCTCAGGGTCAGTTCATTTTAGGGATGAAGTGTGCAATGGCATGTGCGTAGGGGCGCCACTTAGAAAAAGGTGGGTAGACGTAGAAGAGCATGCAGGTGAAGGTACTGTAACTGCATGTAAGCTAGGATCCCCTCCCTGTAAACTACACACATCACACCCACCCACCCCCAACCCCATCCACCCACCCTATCACCCCCTTTCCCCCCTCCCCCCACCCCACTTTTCCCCCTCCCCCTCTTGCCTCCCAGTCCCCCAGGGTATTATTTCCGGGCGGGCACGGGGGGCGGCAAGAGAATGTGGAACATCAATCTGCCGGGCGGCGGATGGTGCAGAACTGCCGCCGAGTGTGTCGCCAGGAGCAACACGTTTCTCGGCAGCAGCACATTCTACCCTCAAGTGCCCACCCGCATTGTATGACATGCTGTTTTAGGATAAATTTGACTGTTGGGGTTGGGAGTCGACTCAATGGGATCAAGCATGTGTAACATGTAACCGAACTACGAAAGGGGCAAGTTCGAAAGGGGCTAGTTCGTCACTGGCAGTGTATGGTGACTAGCAAGATTATAACACAATGAATCCTTCCAACTTCCCTCCTTCCGCATCCCGCAACCCTGTTTCCACTCTCCAAGCCCTCTTCCCACCCTTCACAAATATTTTCAGGAGCAGCAGCAACACAAACCCACCCCTTTCACTCTCCTATGCCAAATCAAACCATCCACTGTATCTCCCCCCTCCACCCTTCATTCCCCCCAGCCCCTCTCTCTCCACTTCAAAGCAACAGCCAGTCTCACCATCAACTGCAGCATCAATCCCGCCATTTTTCCCTTTCCTTCCCTCCCTGCCATTCCTCTTTCTTTCCTCCCCATTCCTCACCAACCCTCACCGTTTTACTCACCCGTCACATGCACTCCTTGCAGCAACAGCAGCTCCAACCAACCCAATTTCCCTTCCCCTACTACCCTCGTTCCCCAAACCTCCCGCCCTCCGTCAAACCCCCAGCGGCCCTTTTCCCGCTTCACAGACATCCTCAGCAGCAACAGCAGCATCAACCCACCCTTCACTCTTCGATTCTAAATCAGGCCATCCATTGTATTTCTCCCCTCCATTCTCCCACAGCCCCCTTTCCCCCGCTTCGCAGGCTTCCTCAGCAGCAACAGCAGTGTCAACCCATCGTTCCACAACTGGAACCTCGTTCGTCTTGTCTACTGCGATGGGGGCGGCTATTTGGGAACGGCGGGGAGGCTGGAGGTTGGCAGAGGCACCGTTCTTTACATGGATGGCTGGAAGATCGTCCAAGCGGTGATCGAGGGTGAGTGACTGGTTTGGTTAAGAGGCGTTGGAGAATGACAGTGAGGGGAGTGACTGGGGCAACCTGCCGTTCGAGAGGAGTGGTTGCAACAGAATGAGACTGAGAGGATTGACTGGGGCAACATGAGAGTGAGAGGAGTGTGGGTTAGAATGAGATTGACGGAAGTGACCTTAACATTACACCTCCCCTCTTCCTCTCTACCCCAATTTCCCCCCCTTTACTCCCTTCTCTGTTTCCCCTGTTCCCATTGTTCCGTCTCTCTCGACCTCTCTGTTCCTCTCTCCTCCTCTCTGTTCCTCTTTGTTCCAAAATCCCCTCAACCCCTTGTCCAAACGCAATCAGATCTGAATTCAAAGGGCGAGATCCAATCTGCAACGCATATCCTCTTCTCGGGCACCTCAGCGGGCGGCCAAGCAGCCCTCTCTCTCTGTGATCGCATCGCTGCCACCTTCCCCTGGGCGGCAACTAAGTGTTTGTGCGACTCGGGAAATTTCATTGGTGAGACGGCTGGGTGCCTCAGTTAGGTGACGAGGTCAGTTTCAACGGTTGAGAGACGAATTTTGATGCACCTCAATAGCCCTCCCAATCCCCACCGTGCAAGTCCGAGGTCACAGGTGCAACTGTGGCAGGTGCAACTGTGGCAGGTGCAACTATGGCAGGTGCAACTCTGGCAGTGTTCGCCAGCACCTTTGAAAGCAAAAACGACGGGAAACGACGGGATCAGGAAGGTCAGTCTCGCCTTCCCGATCCCGTCAGTTAGGGTTCGTTACGCTCCGTCAGGCTGGTCAGCCCGTAAAAATGCTGCCGAGCCTCTCATGCCGTCCGACCCAAATGGAAATTTGGTGCCTGGCGAACGCCCTCACTTTTCTCAAATTTCGGACAGCATCATGGCATTCGGAAATGGGGAAGTGATTTCCTCCTCGGGCAAACGAGAGTCCCATGCCATCCCATGGCAATCCACCATTTCACGGTGGATTGCCGTGGGATGGCGATGTCATTGGCTGTCAGAGGCTAGAGTGGGAAGGTGGGGAGGCAGGTTCCATATGCGGTTGTCACGTTTCCCATTTCGGGGCCCGAAATTTCGCGAGTGGCATTTTGCCCAAACCTCTTCGGAGGGTTCCGGCCCCGCTTCCCGATGCCGTGGCCATTCCGATGCCGTCATTTTTTACCAAGTTTGCATGTGCTGGCGAACACCGCCTCTGTCTCCTTCATTCAAACCATCCCTCAAAACACATCCCCCCGTTCCCCACCCCTTACCCCCTCCTTCCCCCCTCCCACTCCCCCTTCCCCTCCTCCTTTTGCGAATTCTAAGGACCAAGTCGGGGGCTACACCTGGCGAAACGCTGCAATGAAACACCCATCCCCCAACGCTGCAATGAAACCCCCCTCCAACTCCTTGCCAGCAAGCACATGTCCCCCCTTTCCCCCGCAACTCCTATCCCTATCCGCCACCTCACCCCCATCTTGACCCTTCTCCCCACACACACTACCCTCGAGGCTGCAAGAACCAAGTGGGGCCTGGCGCAATGCTGCAAAGAACCCTCCTTCCCACCGTTCCCCATCTCACACCGTTCGCCATCTCACACCGTTCGCCATCTCAGACCGTTCCCCATCTCACACCGTTCCCCCTCTCACACCTTCCTTCCTCCCTCCCTCTATCCCAAACTTGCCTTGACAGACTTGTACATATGGCGTGACAATATCAAGAGAATGGTTTCTTTTCAGGCACCTCAACTGCCCTCGCACACCCTCCTTCCTCCCTCCCTCTTTCTCCAACTTGCCCTGCCAGACTCCAAGGACCGAATGGGGGGGAACACATGGCGTGACACAATCACGAACATGGTTGCTCTGCACAAGCCAACCTGGCCTGCTTGCCAAGATGGTGAGACGAGATGCATTGCTGTTAGAGATGTGTGGATAGCGGTTACATGGTTACTACATGGGGTGACACGATTGGGCGGAGAAAGAAAGGGCAAGGGAGAGGGGAAGGAGTCACAGGGGTTGAACAAGTTCTTTCAGACCCAGTGCCCTCCTTCCAAGCTGACTCAGTATTATGACATGTGAGTTGACTCACGTCATCTGATTTTACATTGACTCAAATTTTACATTTTGAGTTTACTCCTGGGTTCCCCCCGTTTTTTCTTCACTACCTCCTCTTTTGAGTTGACTTCAATTTTCCATGAATATCTCCCGTTTTAAGTTTGCTAATTATAACTATCTCCTGTTTTGAATTTACTCAATGGTATCCCCCATTGCTTCTTGACCATCTCCTCCCCCTTTGAGTTGACTCAAAAGTGTCCCCTTTTTTCACACTCCTCTTTTTACTACACCTAATCCCCTTCTCCCTCTCCTATCAACCCTTACCCCCTTTGACCCCCCAGCCTTACTTGAGACCGAACATTGGAAGTGCTTCTTCCCGCAGTACACTCTGCAACTCGTTACAACCTCCAAATTTCTACTCCAGAATTTATTTGACTATAGAGCCAGCCAGTACGGCGGACTGTTACCGTGGAACTTCACGTACTCATCCCTTTGCTTGCGTGAAGTTGTGCGGATCAACGATGTAACGGGTATTGTAAGAAGAAAGGAGTGGGACGTGATACAGTGGAAATCAAAGTACTGTACAGATGGTGAGAGAGATGCACTGTTTTCTGCGGCATCTGTGCTCTGTGAGGAGCTGGAGAGTGCTATTGAAAGCGAAGGTACCGTAGTTGCGTTTGTGCCAGTTGCAGTTACACATGTGATATTGACGTGGGACACTTGGTTGAAACCACAGATCGGGAAAGTTTCTCTAGTTTCTCACATAGTGCAGTGGTTCGCAGGAAGCATCTCTGATGGATTTGTGCATATGTAAGCCAGTACGGAGATGGATGGAATTTGGGAATTTCCCTTTTTCAAAAATGCATTTTTGCATACGAACTTAGTTAGGGAGCAGATAAACCAAACTCGACTTTAAGTGAGACAATTTCGTTGTGCACGTTGCACAGGCCAAGATCATATCATATGGCCCTGGATATATCTTATTACCTCAGATTGAAGCGCATGCCTATAATAAGTGTTGGGATAACCGAAAGGTTATCATAACGTTCCCGAAGGCTCTCCACTCGCGCGTCACTTCATAACGAAGCACCGCGCCTATATCAGTACCGCAATAGCTAATATAGAGCACGCGGAAGGTCGAGGGTCACCCGAAGGTCAACAGTCGTGACCCTTAACTGCCCAGTAACCGTACTTGGTAGTTACGCGATGCAACATGGTAACTGTCAAGAATAGCAATAGTCGTGGTTACTGTAGCAATGCAATTCAGTTAATAAGGAAGTGAACCCTTCAGAGTACATGGCTAGCTAGGATTGCTACCGTCATACCCCGGATAAGTTTCCATGGGGGGGTATAATAAAACGGGGTTTTTTAGGGGGGTGGGCTTATAATTGAGTCAAAATTATAAGCGCAGGCGCTTATAAAATGACTTATATAGAATTCATATTTTCTAACACCAAACTATAGATCTCGTGCTTGCATTTTTAATCGAGTCGAAGTTACATAGGGTCTTCAGTGAAATTCTCGCGCGCGCTGGGGATACACTCGATGTGACACACAATGTGCCCCTGACAGCTTCTGCTGACTGGACTCGCAACGAGTGCAGGGTTCGAATGTGAAGAGAACCGAAATTGCAACACATCCGCCTGCTAAAGTGAATTTCGTTACAGTGTTTTGAACCAATTTCAAATTTTATAGTTTACATGCGCTTATAATAAAACAAGTTTTTTTCAGGGGGTGCGCTTATAATCGAGGAGCGGATATAAGCGTCATATGCCAATTACAAGCGTCTGGCGCTTATCCCAGGGTGGCGCTTATATCCGGGGGGTGACGGTATTTATATCCTTGTACTCGTATCCTATAATCATCTTATTTTCTTTCAACTTATTAACAAGGTCACTACCAAGACTTCATTGTCTTCTCTTAAGACTTGATAGACTTATCGTATCCACTACGATCCTTCACTTATAACATCATGGTATGAGAGCTAGAGTGGATTATAAGGCCTGCCAAGTCTCTGTTCTCCTTAAAACAATCTCTCTATAAAATCATTCAATATATTATGAGTCTGCATCACTATGGCTCCTGAAGGGAAAGCTACTGCAGACTCTCCGGGCCCACCACCAGCAACAACCAACGTGCCATCTGCGGTGACCTCAGTCAGCGCCGCTGTTGTCGAGCAACTAGTCGCTCGCATCAACGCTCTTGAGAGCCATCAAGCCATGAGCATCGATGGCTCAAGCTACGCAAGAGGAGTTGCTGGACTTCCTCTCTCTGGAGAAGACCGTTGTGTCAACTCCGAGAGGTCCTTCACCTTTGACAACCGTCAAGCTTCAGCTCCTGCACAAGACAGTCCACAACGTGCACATTCAGAAACGATCGCCACCATGCAAACAAATTTCGTTCTGACTTCAAAGATGAAGACCCCAGTTCCCTTTGACGGCAAGGACTTCTACACGTGGAGCTTCGAAATCGAACTCCTCGCGACGACTGCTCAGATCTGGATGTACTACGACGGAAGCTTTCCTTTCCCATCGGAAGGGACCATCCAGGAGAAACACAAGTACTACCACGAATCTCTTTTTGCGTACACCACTCTTCTCCGAAACCTCTCCCCTTTTGAACAGCTTGGCATTCGCTCCTACAAATCGGAGTGGGCTCTTGCGCACGCATCTTGGGAACACCTGCGCAACTCATACATGGCAACAGATCCAGTCACTATGAGTCGCCTCAGCCAACTGACTTCAGTCAAAATGCAGCAGGGAGAAGGCGGGACCATATATCAACCGGTGCCGCAATCTGCGCAATCACATTAAGAAGTGCGGAGGAACCGTTCCAGACGACATGTTCGTCTCGATGGTTCTTTCCGGTCTCGGACCCGACTGGCGCCAATGTCAGTCATTGCTCCGCGCTCGAGCAACCATCTCCGAGTCCGCTTTGTGCGCCATGTCATGATTTTAATTGCTAAATAGAGTTAGGCAGTGACAATATAAAAACATGACAAGATACAGTAGAGAGTAGAGTTATATAGCAGTAGGAGGGAACCCGCGCAGTCAAGGGCGGGGAAAACAAGGCGAAGCAGCGAAAGTAGATATCCGTTGTTGAGCAACGGTAACCCAACCCCGATACTTAGGCAAGCAACAGAAGTAGGTTCAATTGCTTGCTTGTTTGTTTCCACTCTAAGCAAAGACTTGTTCCTAGCCAACCTCTAGAACTGCACCCGTGGAGGAGCCAATCATAGCAAGCCCACCCAATTGCTGAGCACGAGTTTGTTCATCAGCCAGCCGAGTTAGGGTTTTCCTAGCCAAGTTCTCGTGGCTAGGAACTTTCAACAAACAAGCAAGGAAGCGACCCGCTGTCGCAACGAAGCTAGCATGAACGATAGGTTTAAACTAAGATCCGGACAGAGCTATCGTAGAGAAGATATTCCCGCTGAGCCGAGCTGGCGCGCCGCTGCAACAACCGCCTCTGAAGGAGAGGCCGCGACGGAGACTGTGCGCTCGCCAGTCCCGAGGGCTGCAGTTTATCGCACCCCGCATCAACGAGAATGCGAACGACAAGGAGAAATGGACCCACCCCGCACCGTCGCGTCGGACCCAGGAGAAACGCCACATGATATGCGGTGGGCCCGGGAAGCGAGAGCTCGGTGGGACCGAAGGCCCGCGACGACTTCCCCGAGAGCGATGCCAGGGATGGAGACGAACCGGACGCAGGCGCCCACGCCGTGGCTGCGCCGTCAGACCGAAGGTGGTTTTCAGACGCCGACAAATCGGGAGATCGTGGCAAGCCAGACAGCGGAGTTACCGTCGGCGGTGGCGTTACCTGCCCGTCCGAACGAGAAGAGAGGGCAGAGCGGGGCCCTCCCTAAGCTCGAAGTGGCCGAGCGGTTCACCGGAATTCCAGGAGTGGGTCCCACTCTGAAGAACTATTTGATGCAGTTGGAGACCGTGCAGTATTGTTGGGAGCGAGACGGTCTGGACCCAGCGGAGTTCTTCAGACGGATGGTAGTGACTTTGGCGGGCGAAGCTGAGACTTTCTACCGAATGACCCGGAGTGAAGTGCTTGAGGAATGGGAATGCGGGGAGACAGAAAATCCGACGGCTCGTTTTCTCGAATTACTGAAGAAGGAGTTTCTGGGGCAGACTAAAGCGAGGGTGGAAGAATTCCGCGAGTTCCGCCGGGGACGGGATGAATCACTACTGGCCTATTACTGCAGATTGAGGGAGCTAGCCGAGGACCTGGAGAGTAGAGACGAAAGACTGCTCGTACGCAAGTTCGTAAGGGGCCTAGAAGAAGACCTGAGGAACGTGGTGCGGAACACGGTGTATGGAGTTGGCGCAGATATTACGCTGAAAGAAGTGTATGGACTGGCGAAACGCACGGAGCATGCGCAAAGAATGCTGGACTTGGAGGATGGAGAGGCACGCCCCAAAGCGAAGTCCTCGTGGGCGGCGACCGCCCTGGTGGAGGCGCCGCAAGGGGGGGCGACTCGGACGGACGGACGTCAGTGTCATGAATGCGGAGAGCTGGGGCACCTCAAGCGCGACTGCCCGAAGCTGCCGGCGTGCGGGAACTGCGGGCGGAAAGGGCACAAGGAGGACGCCTGTTACAGCCGCCGCCGACTGGAAGAGAACCCGAGCAAGGAGGAGTTGCAGGCGGAGATTAAGAAGCTACAACTGAAGTTGGAAGCGAAGCCGAGAGTCGAGCCGAAAGCCCGTGCCATGCTCGCATACGAGGAGATCGAAGGGGAGGAAGAAGGAGAAGGCGAGTATCTGCGTGCGAGCGGCTTTATGGCGCTTCCCAGGGAGAGAGGGGAGATCGATCTCCGGCCTCGGGGAAGTCAGT